GTAACTGTCCTGAAAGAATGAGCTGGTCCCATCACTTGGGACATTTTTTTTTTTTTTTTTTATGACAGGTTTAATTTTGTGTCCAAATATGGCTTTGTAACTTGCATTTTTCTCGTGCTTTGGCCTACTCGAACGAAGGAAATAAAGCATCATGTCCAAAAATGTCTTGATTCTTGAAGAAAAGAAGCCTTGTAGATGAGCAATACTTTATTTGAGCTTGAGTCAGAATTGCAAAATGAGTTTTGGGCTGCAAATAATATTTTGCTATTGCTTTTATTGTAGAATCCTGTTTTAGTAGTGCATTGCACTTTGTTTTTGCACATATCAAGAGTAATGAGTCCTTTCATATCCTCAAAAAGACTTGGACTCTTAAAAATGCATGCTTGGGAAAATCCTCTCAACTCTGTAGGGATACGTAAGCTAAACAGAGTTAGTCTGCATAGGATAGGTCATGAGAGAAGGCCAAACCAATTTTATCTTGTGTCCCACAGCTGCCTGTGTGAAATCACCACATGACTGAGCATGGAATAATTTTGAAGACCATGCAATTACATGTACTGACATGAGATTAAAAACTCCTGCTACTTGATATTTTAATGCTAAACATTAAACAGTTTTTCCCAACTTATTTCAGCTTAAAAATCTGAGAAGAAGTATCTATAAATGCCTCATAGTGGTGATGATGATGAACAGTAGGTTGCCACCAGTCTCTCTTACCCCACTGTTTTAATGCAGCACCAGAAAAAAACCCTGCTTATTCTGTTGTTGATATGACAAAAAAGGATAGCCAATGTCAAAATGGAGTCCAGACTGTTCAGAAGAAGCAGCTTTTTTTACTGTCTTTTAGGAGCGGATTACAGAAAAGAAACTTGGGAAAAAAAAAAAAAAGTCCTATAAAAATAATTGCCCACTTTAATAACTGAATATTAATTACAGTGCAGTGCCTCGTCTGATAAGGGAAGCAATGTGAGAACTTGTGGATCTCCTTGCACTGTTCAGAAATACACACACCTCTCACTCCAAATTTTGAATTAATAGAGCTAATACAGCTGCTTCCACAGAAGACTCTGTGAAAAAGCTTTCAGATTAATAGAAAAGTGGCGTCCACGATGTGAGTGCTGTTTTAGGAAGCTTAATTGCCATTGCTAAGTGCTGATGTGCTGTGTGCTTTGACAGCTGGCTTGCATCCACCTGTGCCTTAGTGATGATTCCTTAAATATGCCTTAGGACTCACTAGGGACATGTGGATTTGGGGGGGTAAGGCAGAGGGAAATGCATGTCACTAACGCTCCTCTGATTGACTTCAACATCCTTTCTTGAGCAATCTGAATTTAGAGATCTGTCAAATTAGAGGATGCTATTTTTATCAATACATTCATCATAGTTTCAATATCTCCCTCACTGTTTGTCCTCTATCCTTTATATGTTAAAATTCATTCTTTATCCTTATGTTGAAATTTGACTCCGATATTTCCCACTGAACCACTTCAGGAGCTGCCACATGAGAAATCTATGCTGTGTGCCCATTTGTACTGTAAAGAAAGCAGTGAGCTGCCGTTGAATTAAATGGGATTTTCAAATCTGTCCATTGTTTAAGAAAAAACAAGTTTTGGATTGTTTTAAGAGCAAGCATCTGCCTTGTGAAAAGCAGAACTGGTTTGTATTGTAACAAGTGCTCTTTCAATAAACTATGAAATACTCTTTTAAGTGTCAGACTTGTCTCAGTGAAATGGAAATGAAATTTGATTGCAGGCCTGTCATGATTTTATTTTTTGTCTCAGGGTTGGTATTGTTCTAGCAGAGTTAAAAAGGTTTCTGTAATTTTTCCTCAATCTGATTCTTATAAGTCCGTCTACCCTGATTTTTCGGCTGTTATATGAAAAGCAGCCTATGCAGATTTGTGTCTATTGTAACATAGCTTATTTAAATTAAAAAAAACCTCACAACATTAAAAAAACCCTGCTTTTATAGCGTAAGGGCATACAAGCCATACTCCTCTTCCGTGCTGTCCCATTTTACCATCTTGTGTGCTGTTTAAACTCTGGAAGAAAATACAGAGCTGGCCATTCACCACTTGCTCTCTGAACACGAAAGAAACTATCTTTTGGTATACCTCAAATCCAGGGGGAGTCACACACACTACAGTAACTTTGCAGGTATCACATAGGTCCACGGAACTGAAGTTGTGATGGTACAGTGTTCTGCTTAAAATGTTGGCCCAGTCTGGTCTTAAAAAGCTTGGACTAGTCTTGAGTGTATGATTTTTTTTTTTTTCTTTTTTTTCTCCTGTTTTCACAAAATATGTGATTGTTATGCCTTCAGATATTTCCATGCCCCTGGGCAAAATGAACTTTGCATTCCCTTTTTCCACATTCATGGAGCTAATGATATCAACCAGTTTGAAGCCATACAACAATATGCACTGGGTTCCAGGGAGTCTAGGACATGGACCTTCAGGGCAGCTTCTAGATGCAGGTTTTTTTTTTTCTTTTCTGGCAGTTGAAGCACATTTACATCAGTATTAACAATTATGTGTGTATTATCACTAGTCCAGTCTGGAAATACTTACCTGGAGAGCTGACCAATCTCAGAGCAAACCAACCCCTTTCACAGTGCAGTCAGTGCACCTTCTGTGTGAACCAACCTGAAATTCATCCTTCCTCTGTTGCTCCATGCCAATTATTTTTAAATACTACCATAGTATCACGTGGCAGGAGGAAATCTTAGTCCTGTTTTTCTTCTTAGGGAAATAGTACCTGTTTCTTTTTTTCGTTATGGGGAAACAAACTTAAATTCTTTTACTTAGTTTTAAAAGTAATATTTGCTAATGTGGAGTCAATAAAAAGAGTGTTGACATTAAGCATTTATTTATCTAGGTATTTAAATATATAGAAGATACACTTACTTGGCTTACAAGTCTGAAAATGAAGAAGGCAAGAAGTAGGTCTTTGTCTTTGAATGAATGTAGTGTGCCTGGGTTTTTCATGCTGGAAGTAGAATTTTCACAGTGGAATGCTCCTGATTTTTGATCATTCCCTCTGCAGCTTTTTGTTTTTTCCAAAAGAATCTGATCAAAGATGCTATTAAACACTACTTGAAGAGCTTTTCATTTTTTCAATCTAGCTGCTCAAAATGACGTCTTCACATTATCTACTTTCTGTCTACAGGAAAATAAATTATTTTGCTCTTCCTTGCAAGTAGGAGAAGCTTGTTTCTGCCATTTTGCAGCTGACCTGTTTTATCTTGGTTTCAAATGTAATAGCTTTATCAACATGGATGGTGGGGAAAAAAGATCAGAGAGAATGCCTTTATGTTAACGAATTTTTAAGAATATGCTGGTATTTCAGAACTGTAGATAAGTCTGAAACTCCTCATTGGCTCTAGAATAGTTTTTTGGTGAATCAGGAATTTCAGAAGAAATAGCAAAAGAAAGGATATATTTTTGTTTTGTCTGTAGTTCTTTTGCTGCTGGAGTAAGGTTTACTTATACTGTAAGTATGTAGCCATCTTAGAGTGAATGGAGCAGACACAACTGAAGAAGAAGCAGCATTTTAGCCAAATAAAACTTCAAGAGGAAATTAGAAGATTAAAATGCAGCCCTCATACAAAGGCCATATATCTTCAATAGTTTGGTTTTCTCTCCCTGAAGGTCATGGGTATTGAATTCACAGTATTGAAAATTCTATACTCCTAAGAGCATAGCTTTTGTTTTTCATATGCTACCTCCAGGAAACATTACTTCTAAACTTAAAAGAACATACTTCAGGTTTATCTCCTTTCCAAATACTGTCTAAAGGTCTTTCTGACTGAACTTTTTTTAGATTTGATGCAATCACATTGTGGCAGTGTTAAGTACTATACTTGCTGGGTGAAAACAAAGTCATGTAGCTGTTTAAGTGGGATCCTTAATTAGGGTGGCAGCAAAGTGTAAAGCTTTCCTTCTATAGCTGTTAGACATAATGTATTACTGCAGGCAGTGCACTGGACAAGTTTTAGGATTTGCGACTGTGGAAGAGAGAAGGTTGAAACACAAGATAAGTGGCTTCAGGAATTTTCCATAAGAACTCTGTAACACTCTTAGTGAATTACTGTTGCAACTCTTGTATAAAAATCTTGAGAAGCCAGTTTAATGAATAATGTATGCCAAAGGATTATCTTCAAAAAATAAAATACGGTAGTGAGGTGGGCTCTGAGACCAGGAGCGCAGTGACTGTGTCTGTTATTGGTATCTTAAATTTGTATTTGTTTTACCTGCAAATAATAAAAGGGTCATTGGGTCCTAGTAGCATTTATTTCAAGGGATGATTATGCTGAACAGGAAGAAAATGCTTTTACACCAGAAGGTACTGTTGAAGTGGTCTTTGTGGGGAAACCTCTGCACAAACTTCTCTGCTTACTTGTCAGGGTGGTGGTGTTCTTTTCATCTTCTGATATATTAAATACACATGTGAGAGAGTGATATTACATCCCAAGAGTAAAATCTAATTGAAAACAAAATGTCTTCTTTTTTTTTTTTTCCTAAAATCTGAAATTAATTTTTTTGTATCAAAAGGCAAATCAGTGGTGCTGTTAATCCTTCTCTTTGAGAAAATTAAGGTGAATAATCCTCCTCTTTTAAATTTGTTTCTGTACTTTTCTATATTTCTGCCTCTTTTCTACCTCCATGAAAGCAGCAAGCGAGTTCCCCAAGAATCCCCTTTTTCCAGTCTTTAGCAAAAAAACTGAACCCTAAACCTTTCCCTCTTACAGTTACCATGAGCATGTATATCTGATGATTTTAGAAAAACAACACTACTATTAATTGTATTTGCCTCTGTCTTCTCTCTTTTCAAGGACAGATTGTACTAAAACAATAGATGTTGGTATGTGACCTCTGAGCATTAATGGAAATGTGTTACTTGTTCTCTATGTCTGTCATTCCATCTGAGGTGTTAGTCTCTCTTAACTGTTCTCCTTGCTTTTGTCTGTCCTCCTACACGGTATCTCCTCTCTCCCCACAGGACTATGAGAGTAAACTGCAGGCCTTACAGAAGCAGGTAGAGACACGATCCTTGGCAGCTGAAACAACAGAGGAGGAAGAAGAAGAAGAAGAAGGTGAGTTTGAAACTAAAAATAATTTGGATACAGCCAAGCCTAATGGAACAGCTGCTGTAAGATCTCTTGCAATAGATAGAAAACATGCTTTGGAAAACTGTGAAACACTTCCTAACTTCTTGATCTGTAATCTTTACAGCATAAAGACGTAAAGTACCTATTCATAGAACAAGTTCCACATAAACAGTAGATATACATCCCCAAATTCAATCGATGCACAAACTAGATCAGTTTAACTGCAAGCTTTGGTTTGGTGGTCTTGAATTTAAAGGAATCTCTCTCTGTTTGGCCCTAAGAGTTCAGATGTCGTAAACCAAAATAATACTGTTGCCTTTGTTTCCTTGTTTTGGTTTTGAAGTTTCTTTTTTCTCCTTGGTAGAAATTTGTGAATTTCATGCTGTGACATGTCTGTATAACTCCATTTCTGGACAGTAGATAGATTTTATTATTCCCGTAATGCTTGCTTTCATTCCACTGTTTCATCATTTGGCTTTAATAATTGTTAACTAATTTAAATTAATAGTGGAATTTATTTTGTTTTCTCTGTTCCCAATCTCCTTACTTGATCATTATATCTCCACTGCTAGTGGTGAGGAAGTTTGAATCCAGTTTTTCCTCATGGAATAATAAAAATACAGGTTTTTGTTTTCTCTTCAAGAAAAGGTGTTGTGAACTTGATGACACAGTCAGCAGTAGTATTAGATACTGCACGTGATGATTTGAAGAAGAAGCAGCAATGTTTTATTTCTGTTTCTTTTCTCTCCTAGTGCCCTGGACACGACATGAATATGAACTTGCACAGTGGGCTTTCAGGAAGTGGAAATTTCACCAGTTTACTTCACTGAGGGACCAACTCTGGGGAAATGCAGTATATCTGAAAGAAGCCAACGCAATCAGTGTAGAGTTAAAGAAAAAGGTAGGGACATGCAGCTTTTTAAAAAAGCTGCTGCTTTTTGAATTTTCTGACTCATCAGTTTTGACTGTATATTCCTGCTTCAAATGCTCAGAGTAATTTGTAGTCTTTAAAGTTATATGTCTCCTGCTTATTAGTTTGGGTTTTAAAAGATTTCAGAAAACTGTGAGTCTTTGATCCAGACTTCTGGCTGAATTAACATCCCATGCAAATCTGGTTGTTATATTCTCCTCTTCTTCATTTCCCTTATGCTGTTCCTGTCAGTATTATAAACATATGTACAGTCTCCCCAGTGCCCTGTCTTTTCCTTTTTCCTTTTACCTTTATGTGGTCATTCATCTTTACAAGAGAAGTGGGGGCTGCAGGATGTTCTAGGTCCATAGTTTTCCACACCTCTGCTAGCTGTGATAGTAACGGCAAGATATGTCTACTCAGCTGAAAAATATGTTTTAGGCCATTCTGAAACAAACAAAAAAAAGGTGAAAAAACTCTGTGAACAGATTCAGGGATGAAAACCTAACTGGCTTCATAATGTGTTGCCTTAGGTCTGCTTTGTGATGCTGATAGCTGGCTTATCAGAACTAAAGGAATATTTTTTTTTGCCATTCAGGTACAGTTTCAATTTGTGCTGCTGACAGACACCCTCTACTCACCACTGCCACCAGAGCTTTTGCCCACTGAGTTGGAGAAGACCCGGGACAATAGGCCTTTCCCCCGTACAGTGGTAGCTGTGGAAGTCCAGGATCTGAAGAATGGAGCAACGCATTACTGGTCCTTAGAAAAACTCAAGTATGTATATATTACTGGAGAACAAAATTCCTTATACCCCAGGAGCTTCACTGGAGCAGAACGTGAAAAACTGCCTAAATTACTTGGCAACATTGTCTGATGCATAAAAGGAAGTAAAAAATATGCAAGAATTAGATGTCAGAGAAGAATATTTAGATGTTTGAATGAAATCTGAGATTTACATAAGCTTCTGCAGTGACCATGCCTTGTACTTAGTGGGCTTAGCCTGCAGATTTCTTCCCAGAATCCCTAACATGTCAGATGTAGTGCAGTACCAAACTTAGTGGTACAGACTCCTCTGTTCTTTATTCTCCCTTTCCTATGTGTGATTTGGCATGGGTGAAGTCAGTTTATCCCACTTTGTGTTCCCTACTTTTTTATTCAATCTCTATTAATTTTTTCATCCTGCTTTCTTCTACACAGGCAGAGGTTGGACCTGATGCGTGAGATGTATGACAGAGCTGGGGAAATGGCATCTAGTGCACAGGATGAGAGTGAAAGCACGATGACAGGCAGTGACCCCTTTTACGATCGCTTTCATTGGTTCAAGCTTGTTGGAAGGTATGTGATGATAATCTCAACTCCTGGTACACTGGTAACTCTTTTCAGCTCTGGATGAACTTTGACTTTGATTGTGGTTATAAAATGTATGGCCATTAGTGTTAGTTGTGTGTTGTCCTTCAGGGATTTCTCATAGACTTAAAATATAGTGAAGAGCAGAAAATGCTCTTTAGAATATTGCCAGTTGTGGTGTAACCTTGTAGAATGTAGTTTGACTGACCCCTTAGTAAGTTATAAGCTTATGTTAAAAAAATGTAGCTACCTAAGTTCTATCTAAAGTCACTGGGGCAGAGCTGTGAGAATATGGACAACACTGGAAACTGATGGGAAGAGTGGCCCACGGCCTTACTTACATATGTGGTTCAAATAGTTTGGTCATACTTTATGGAACTACCTAATATTAATATCTGATGGGATTTTTTAGTATTTCCTGATGTTGGCTGCACCTTTACAATATTTTTATTTACAGAAATGCTGTGTGTTGGAAATAAGAATTGTAGATCTGTTAAATGGATGTGCTCTTAATATCAGTATGTTCAGCCATGTTTATATTAATTTTTCAGTTGCTTTCTGCTCAGTTCAAGGATGCTCTTTTTCCTGACTTCGTTAGCAACCCCTTCCCTTACGTTTCATTGCAGTCCAGATGGTTTGAAGCCTTTGCTTGTTGTTCAGGTGGTCTCTGTGCTGATGGCAACAGACGGCTGTTAAATGAAGCATTCTTCTTTCCCCTCACTCTGTTAATTGGTATTCCGTTAACTGATATCTAGCTCCCCCATATTCCATGGCTGCGTGAATGAGCGTCTTGCTGATCGCACGCCCTCCCCCACTTTCTCCACGGCTGATTCTGACATCACTGAACTGGCTGATGAACAGCAGGATGAGATGGAGGACTTTGATGATGAGGCCTTTGTGGATGACACTGGCTCCGACGTTGGAACTGAGGAGGGATCAGACCTCTTCAATGATGGGCGAGACCCGTTTTACGACCGATCCCCTTGGTTCATTTTAGTGGGAAGGTTGGTGAGGTTACTGTGAGAATGGCCAAAAGGGACCAGCTCTTGCTGTAGGCTGCAATGGCTTTGCCTTGTGCTGCATAAAATACCTGTCAAGCCAGCCAAAATATCTATATACATGAATTGGAATTGCCAGAGAATGAGTGCAGTTTAACATTGACTTTTAAATTCCTATGTCAGAGGCCATGAAGGCATAAATAATAATTGAGAAAATAATACTTAGATGCGACAACATGAGAAAATATATTTCTATTTTTAGATTACATTCATTCTGTGCTGTGACAGTTGTTTTGCTTCTGTACAGTATTTAAGCATTATTTATAAGTGCTCTATTTAGCCATTGCAAGATCACTGAGATAGTATTGCGGTATGTAATTTTCTCCCTTAGAAGAGAATCTGAGAGTATGGTGGAAATTCTTTTAAGTCCAATCCAATAAATCCATTTATTGAAAACTCATCTAACATCCTCTGTGTCTGAAGAGAAAAGATGGCATGAGGAGAAAGAAGAATGGCTCTTTCTGGATGCAGAAAACAGCATTCTTTGAGATGATCTTGCTTCTCAGATTATTCATGACTCTTGGTACCAAGTATTACATAGTGAAAGGTCATTAAAATTCACTGGCTGGTGGTGTTTATCGGCGCTTTCCCTATGTGCTGTGCTTTAATTTCCAAAAGAAATTTGTTTAATGTATTTTAAAGTATCTACTTTGCTGATCCAGATATGATTAAGGTGTTATTAGACCTCAGTCTGTGGTGCAGACACTAAGGACAGCAAGTTGCATTAAAAAAATGTAGTGCTTTGCACTGTTTCTTCACAGATAGTCTTGTTCAAATATGCAACTCATGACAAGAAACAGAAAGATTTTATTTAGTGACTTTGCTCCCCTTTCTTCTGCTCCCACTCCCTCTGTTACACTTTTTCGATCACTCTAAGCCATTCTACTTGTTAATACAGTAGGGGAGGTGGTTTCCACAGGCATTGTACAAAAGAGGGTGCAAGACTCGATGGCTGGTGGAAGGGAGGAACAAAGGAGAAGGGACCAGAGCCTGACTTTATCCTTTTCTGTGACTGTAAGCAGGGAAGACTTCATGGTCAGGAAGACTAGATCTTTTTGCAGTTTCCTCAAATGCAGGAAACTTGATTGGTTTATTTGTAATAATGTGGGACTGAGTTTGTCAGTCTTTTATCAAGCTTTTAGCTCAGTTTAGCTGTTTTGTCTAACCTCATTTTTTGTTTTTAGTGGACATGTTTACAAGCTGTGATTAAAAGTTGGAACTTCTTTCATTTAGTCTTTGAAACAAAAATTACAGTTACTAAAGGTGCAAGTAATTGCATTAGTCCGCTTTGATCTCTGTGAACTTGTGCATTTATGCGTAAAGTCTGATAATGTGTTTTGTAAAATTTAATTCTTTAAGGTTAATCTGATCCACAAGAGTCAGTTTGGGAAAGCCATTTTAACTGGCTTGAGAGTGGTTGTCAGCTAGTTAAAGCAGACATGTGTTGTCTGCAATGGCTAGGGCTGCTTTCTTGTACCAGTGCTGGTATGCTCAGCATATTCGCCTGTTGTGCCTGTTCTTTCAGAGTGGGACCTTTGGTGCATGGGGAAGAGTTGAGCTATTCATCTTCGTTTCACAAACTCTTCAGGAAGCACAACACAAGCTGAGCAAATACAGTGTATAATGAAAACAGTTGTGCTTCCTGGCATTTGCACAGCTTGCTTCCCATTTCCATGTATTAAAAAGAATACTGAGCTCTGTGTCTATAGACAGCCATATGGAGCTGCAGCAGTTAAGGGTACTACCCTGAACCGTGTAAGCTGCACATATTGAGGAACTACTTGGGTTGTAAATTGTATTGAGGACTGAAACTTAGTTTGTATTACCTCTGAGTGGACATCTGAATGACTGTTTCTCAGTTGTTGGTTTCTATTCTGTTGTATATCTATTCCTGTTCTGTTCTTCTGTTGTGCTGATTCTGTCAGCAGAAAGCTGTTAGACTGTTTAGCACCACTGAGTAGAAACTATTTTAATTCCTAAGTGTCTTCCAGCATAAGAATTCTGCTTTTGAACAGTGTGACTTAGAAGCATCAGAGTGTATGTCCATCTGCACAGATACTGTCTTGAGCACAAGGTAGTGTTCAATTTATAACAAAACCAAAAATTCCTTAGTACTTCTAACTGTGTACTGTTTTATATGTTGTAGAATGTGTAGGACAAGAATAAAATAATTTTTATTATTTTGGGGGGTAAGAGGGGTGTGATCAGCAATAATGAGTCGAGGTCACAAAGGAGAGGAGGAAAAATCCGTCATGTAGTTAGACAAGTCCTCGGGCATCACAGTATTCTCTCTCTGTGTTGTGACTCTTATTTGTACTATAACTATTAAAGAAAAGGAAAAAAAAAAAAGAGCTGGTCCCTTTAGCCATCTCTTCTGGCATGCTGGGCTGTCTTTAAGCTGTTTCTATTTAATGGTGTTACATATCAAGTATTTGCTGTTTTTAAGGGAGGTGGGAGAGGACTATGGGATATTTTACTTAAAACTTGAATTGATGTGTTTGTTTTAAAAATCTCCGTCATCATTCTGAGTTCTGTTGTTTTTGTTTTGATTTAAAAAAAAAAAATTGTGTTTGTTAAATTTCGTTTCTAGTTTTGTTGTGAGTATGCCATTTTACCTCACCAATCTTTCTGCTAATACAGCTTCCCCTCTTTCAGTCTGCTGGGCTAAGGTGCAGGGGGACACTTGCATATGGGATGTTTGGGGAGTGGGAGTCCTCCCAGATGTGGGAAGAGGAGGAGGATAACGTTAAGATTTCATCCACTCCTAACTTGGTACTGTCTTGTGATGAAGCAGGTGGAACGGCACTGGAAGGCAGTATTGCTGCATAATCCAGCTCTTTTCTCTATACAGCAAATTGCTATTGCTTTCCATTCTGCAGAAGAGATCCATCATTTTCATCACCAAACAGGAAGCTTAAAACTTTTTGCATTGTGTGCTTTTCTTTCTCTAAGTTAAAATGATTCCAGTGAGCTCTGTGACTAGATTGAAGGAAGTTAAGGAAGATCAGAAATATTTTTTTTCTTTGGGATGGTCATTCTACTAAGGTGACGAAATTGTGATTGCTAATAAAGCTGAATGCTTTGGCTGTCATATGTTGAACGGCAGCTTCAGAACTTTAGCCATGCAAGTAAAAATACATTTTTATTTTTCATGCAGTTAATGCTTTAACTTTACAGTAGTTTGGCTTTGAAGTAGGAAGGCTTCTGTAATGACTGCCTCTTTTAGTTAGTGAAACTGCCTCTAATTGTATACCTATCAATGCAAGGCTATTTAGATTTCTTTCTGTTGGGGAAAAATGTCCGTTCTCCCTAGCTTGAAATGTGGTTTTCAAACTGCGTGTGTTTTTCATGTTGAGCATATAACTACGTACCTTCCTGAACTCCATCCCTGGTCCAGTCCAAGTGAACAATTCCAGGTTGTTAGTGTGAGGGCTGGTTTTCTTGTATGGTGGGATGCTGCTTTCTCAAATGAGCACCACTTGAAATTTCAAAGCTAAAAATGAAAATGTTTTCTCAGAGAAAAAAAAATACTAAATTTCCATTTTGTTACTTTAAATTTACTCTCTTCTCCCTTCCCCTGCTTTGTGAGTGCTTACCTCACTTTGGAGCAGACTGAAAAGGAATTAGATCCTAATCCTAGTTAAGTGTTATGTTGCCGGTTTTTTTTTGTTGTTGTATGGTTTTCTTCATTTTCTGTTTCACTACTTTTATAGCATTATTAATTATTCTCTTTTCTATTGCATTTTGTTGCCACTTTGTTTTTTAGTAGCATTATTTTTGTCTTTTTGGCTCACAACTGACACCCGTTTGACTACCTTGTCATTTCAAGATCATTCATTCTGGGAACAGGCATACGAACCCAAGGAGAAACACTTACCTTTTCTAACTTTAGTCTTTAGCTGTGTGTCCCAAGGAACTGAGTTTGGATCAGTCTTCCCATGTTCGCGGAACAAATTCTACAGCTGATGTCTCTAGACAGAGGCAGTGAATATCTTTATTTCTCTCCCAGTCCTCCTTTGTTCATGCAGGACTTTTCCTATGAATATTAAACAGTCACAGTTATAAATCTGAGGAATTAATTATACTTAAAGAAAAATAAAAAGGACTGCAAGAAGGAAATCCAATTAAATAAATGACTGGTCTTTAGTATAATTAATTATGCATAAATTAATAAAAATTACACACATAATTGGTTAGTCACTTTATATTTAATGACTGGTAAAACTATTGGTTAAACTTCTATGCATCTCAGTACACTTCTGAACCCAGAAACAGCTCACTTAATAAATGAAATCCTCAATTTTTCCCCTTGTTGAGAGCCATTCTTTATGTGACTTGTTTGGCTTCTCAGCATTTAAAGTTTTTGCTCAAGCTAATCACGCTGAAGTGTGGTGCTTTAAGAACTTCTGCAATTCATTGCAGAAACATAAAATAACTTAATAATGTTAGTCTAACTTTTAATTTAAAATCTATGCAATAAAACTTTTTAACTTATTGTTCCAAAATAGACCCTGCTTGTATATAAATTTAAAAGTTAGTGTATGGCAGGATCATTCAGTACTGGGCCTAAATGCTGCTTTTTCTGTTGTAAACGGTAATTTCTAAATGATTGCTCTAGAATACTGTTGTGGTGGTTATTTTTTTGTTGTATTTTTTTTTCTTTTCTTTTTTTGGGGGGAGGGGGGGTAAGTGTGTTAAAGAAATAAATATAATACTCCTAGAGATATTTAGCTGAAAAACTATCAGTCTTCCACTATAAGTACACGCAGTGAATCTTCCAAAGAACCTATTAGATGACTTATGGTTTATTGGGGATTTCTGATTACTCTGTGTACAGTGTTATCAAGTGAACATAGAAGAGAGAAAACATTCAGTCTGTTTTGAAGAGTGGTTTTGTATGTTCAGTAAAATATTTGAGGCTGTGTGAACACAGTAGATCAATTCCCTTTTAATTTATTACTTCAAACTACACTTAAAGAGTTGAAAACCCAAACAATTCTTTATAATCAGTAGCTCCTTAGTAGATTTCTACCATCTTGCTGACAACTCCATTTACAACTGTAGTGCATCTAAAATTACATTCTGTAAAGCCATCATCCTCAATTGTCTCCATATGTTTTGTAACTCACTAATACAAGCCTGTGTCTCCAGTATACTCTGATTTAGAGCATTTTGTGGCTTCACTTGGCTTTGGCACTGCTGCAGAGCCCTGTGTGGACAGTATGGGTACATGACCACAGTGCAGGTCTAATAGGTGGAGTCTAGTAGACTGTCTGAAGATTTGAATGTCCCATTAGCCAACCAAATACTGCAGTCTGGTTTTGCAGATGATTACCTAATGCTGTTTGTGTTTTCTTTCCTTCCTATTACCAGAGCGTTTGTATACCTGAGCAATCTACTGTACCCAGTGCCTCTTATTCACAGAGTAGCTGTTGTCAGTGAGAAAGGAGAAGTACGAGGATTTCTGCGAGTAGCAGTGCAAGCTATAGCAGGTGAGATATTCAGAGCTTTACATTGCAAGTCCTTGGTACACTGAATAGCTGTAGCTTTGAAAAACAGGCAAACAGATCAAACCAGAGTAATTTTGGTGTTGCAAAGAACACTTGTTCTTTATTATTAACTAATTAAAAAAATAGGTTTTTTCATTGGTGTGAATCATATGAGCCAAAGATGAACAAATCTTGAAATAATGCTACTGATCAGAAACTTCTAAAATGATGGTGTTGACCACTGAAGTTTATACCTGGCAACTAATGCAACACTGCTTTTTAAGGCAGTGAAAGGGCTAACAAGTGTCAGTAAGTCTAAAAACTAAAAATAAGCAAAGGTTTTCTTTTTGGCACCCAGTATAAACAGTGGACAAGGGTATATGCATGTTTGATAGTTGTGGTGACTTGCAGAAAAGGTAAAAGTACCAAGTGTTTGCTGTTCTCAAACTATCCTTTTAAACAATGTGCAGTAATGTGCTCCTTCATTGTCTGACTGAATAGCATGTGAAGAAGTTCCTGAACTGGTGGTTTTCAGCATAGTATAAATAGAAACCAGCAGCAGTTTTCCATTTCATAGCCTCAATAAAATATGTTGAGACTTAGAAGCTGCTTTAACATACTGTTTAATCACCGAATTACTAACTTTTCAGAAGAGAAGGGTAGATATGTGGGGCTGGTAACCACTTCATCCGATTTTGAGCTGCCGTTGTATGTGTGCCAGAGCTTAACTGCAGTCCACTAGTCAGCTGCTAATATTTTATACTTTTTCAGTATGAGGTGAACTAGTTGAGTTTTACTGCTGGTAGTTAGCCATGTCTTACCCATGCTGGTGAGAGCACAGATACTTCCCATAATTTGTCCTTTCCAGCAGTGGCTAACTGGCAACATTTCTTTATTGTTTAGGTAGGGTAGCTCTGGAAGTTTCACTCTCCATGGGAACATATAATGAAATCTCAGACTCTGAAGTTGTGTAAGAATCACTCTGACAGGGACTAAAACAGCCAGTGAAATAAAATCTATTTTAATGTGTACAGAAGTCTCATTTCTAGTTTGGTTTGGTCTCCTTAGCATTCACCAAATATTTCCAAAAAGATATTCTATTTATCCAACCAAATAAATAGAACACACCATTGAGAACAGAAATTGAACTGGGGATGTCTCTTGAAAAAGGGCCATGGCATTAGCTGGTCCCTAAGTGAAGTTTTGGAACACTTTCTGAATCTTGGGATTTTTCCTGCAAGAATGCATTTACTGTGGAAAAAATATCTGGTGTTTAACCAGGCTTCATTGTTGTTACTCTTCACAAAAAGAATAAGGTTAAATGGACAGATTGTACTGACAGAACCGCCTTGCAGACTTACATCATGTACTTGTGAAGCTTTGCTAGTGTTACTGCTTAGTTTATGGCTACAGAATTTTAGATCGCAGTTTAAATCAACATAAGTATACACTCCTATGAGAGTTGTTGCATTATGGTATGTTAATTTACTTCAGGTATAATAATCAGAAGTAAATAAATAATCAAAATGAGAAATAAAGTTGTTTTGCATTCAAAATTCTCTAAATATACTAAATATACTTAACAGTATGTTCATGTTGACAATTCATGGCTTGTTTTGTTTTCCCACACTTGAGTTCATGATGGATAGATTTCTGCTATGATTTTTTCCGGCACTTATTCTAATCTCTTATTGGATGAGTGGAGCCGGGCTTCCTCTGCTTTACAGACTCATTTCTACTGTAATCAGAATTTCCATGTAGATAACTCTCCATTTTTTTTCCTTCTTTTTCTGTTTTTTAGCTGATGAGGAAGCCCCAGATTATGGATCTGGTATTCGACAATCTGGCACAGCTAAAATTTCATTCGACAATGAATATTTTGATAAGGTAAGAAGTCTTAAAACTGGGTTAGGTTTCTTTGAGTGCAGTAGTTTGTGCTTCTAAATAAAGAGTAAGTATGGCAGGGGAAGAAGGGGATGGCAAAACCATGAACTGCAGGGGTCTGTTACATTCCTTTTCATTTAATTTTTCAGAGTGATTTTTCTTCAGTTGCGATGACTCGGTCTGGACTGTCATTGGAAGAATTAAGAATTGTGGAAGGGCAAGGACAGAATTCAGAGGTTACCACTCCTCCAGAGGAGATAAACAGAATGAATGAGCTAGGTAAGCAAGAAATATGTAGTAGTTTTGGAGAACTCCTCTGGGACACTTTGAAGCAGTGATAAAAAGGAGTTCTGAGTGTCCTTCAAGAATATGGTAGCTGGGGAGAGGGCTGCATAAGGTAGATGCTGGAGTTATTAATTTGAAGAACTGTGCAGAAAAACTGTTCCCAGGTATTTGGACCTTTTGATTATCAGTAAATAATTTGGGCTCAAAAGGAAAATGAAAAAGTGTGATGGAACTAAACTGTTGCCTGAAGGAATATTTTAAGAAAAGAAAAGAGGGGGAGGGAAAAAAAAAAAGGAAGAAGTGATTTCACCTGGGATGTTTGTGTCTCCCTAAGACTTGAAGTCAGCCACTTTGGATGGAAAGATGACTATGGAAGGATTCACTGAGGAAATCGGTGATCACTTGAAACTGGGTAACGTGTTTACCTTCCGTGTGACAGTGCTACAGGCCAATGGCATCCTTCCTGAATATGCAGACATTTTCTGCCAGTTCAAGTAAGAATTTGTCCTTATTTACATTAGGCAATTAATGGCTTGATAGAGAGTGCAAATAAAAGCAGCAAGGGAGGGTCTGATTGAGAGCTCTTCAAATCAGTGGCAGTGTGGTGTAGCAGAGAAAAACACCTTGTCAGTTACTGGAATTCCTGTTATGAGCTGTACCTGCTTTGTGTTAGCATGGTGTTAAGGAACAGAGTTTTGCAGAAAGGAATTAAGAATCAGAGTGGACTATTAAGCTACTAGTTGTAGATATCTTAAGTTTTTGCCTGATAATGGCTTTTAATGTGAAAAATTCAATATGATACTGTACATATGCTCAATTGGAATGAAAGCTATATGACCCTTGAGTAAATCAGTAGCTCTCAAGTGAAAGTGTTCATTGGCTTAGTTTCTTCAGAAAGAGAATGAAAAATGGGAGTAATAAAGATACAAAACAAGTACAGGAATTGTAGGCTAGAGTATTCCTAGCTTTAGGCCATCACTCAACTCCCTGTAAAGTTCTAGCAGAGTAAGTTTACGGGTTTCCTTTCAGTGTTGAGTTCACAGCACAGCAATCTAATCTTCACTAAACCGTTCTGTGATGTGATTTATTTATTTTTTTATTTATTTATTAAATTTTGAAGCTTTTTACATCGGCATGATGAAGCTTTCTCAACAGAACCTCTCAAAAACAACGGTCGCGGGACTCCCCTTGGTTTTTACCATGTTCAGAATGTAAGTAAAACTTTACATGAATAGTAAGTGCCTGTTGCCTGTTTTAGCACTGGGAGTTATGTGTTATCCTTCTTGTTAAATTCATGAGAGGTGTATGGGAAAGGGGGTCAAGGGGAATTAATAAAAATAAACAGCAGGAGGAGTGATCAGGTGAATGATGTAATTGCCAATGGAGAACAAAATACAGAATGATTCTGTGTAGCAGATTTAACTCTTCTGTTTCACCTCTACTTCCTGCTTTTGAATTCTGTTTCCTCTCCAGGATGTTCAATGAAAGCAGTCTAGAATTCAGGAAATAAATTGTATGTGGATAGCAGTGCTCATGATCTCAGATGAACTGAATATATCTATTTTTATGAACTGTGTAATCCTTTGGTTACATGTAGCTTCCTATTCTCCTGCTTAAAATGACTGATATTGAGTCTTTCATTTTCTCCTTTATTGGAGAATAGAATTAATGCTTAAAGAAAAAAGAAATGGAATAGCTTTTACTGTGAGTGGCACTAAACCATATGAAAAATACAGACTCCTAAAATTCTGAGTTACAAGATTTCATTTTTGTATGTCTCATTTTCTTTCTTTACTTTGCGTAATAGATTGCTGTGGAAGTGACGGAATCATTTGTGGAGTACATCAAAACAAAGCCTATTGTGTTTGAAGTCTTTGGACATTATCAGCAGCATCCTCTCCATCTTCAAGGACAGGATCTCAACAGGTATTGTTCGGTATTCTGGCATAAAGGCTGTTTCTGATCATGCTCAGGTTAGCTCTGCAGTTCGAGCAGTACTTTTTCATACTCCTGAAATTATGCAGCCACACCCTCATGAGTAGGATTCCTGAGAGAGGCCTATTTATCTCGTGTAGTATGTTTTGTTAGTGAGTGATGAAATTGTTCTACCATCTCAAACATGGAAAGCAGTTTTGCCAATACATCTGCATCCACCCTACAAACACTGTGGTGGTAGAATATTGTACTTAAAACTTCAATGGTGATCTCAGTGAGTTCTGGGTAAACCTTAACAAGGCTCCAAGATGCAGTGTTACCTCAGGGCAAGTGGCCTGATGCATAAAGGTAAAATGACAAGAGAGACAAGATTAGGGGGAAAACAAAGGTTTTCAACCTTTTGATGTATTAGAGCCAAAGTTGCTGGGCATTTAAATTTTTGGAATTGGGGAAGGGAACGCTAGTCATCCTTGTCTTCGGAGCTTAAGGGAAGAGGCTATTGTCTGGCCTGCTTGGCCTGGTTAGCCCTCCTACTGAAGGAGCAGCTGCAAAGAAGCAGCATGTGCTGGTTTTAAGAGGAAATGCCAGCTGAGGCTTGTTCCTTTTCCTTAAGTTATTTTAGGAAATGCCTGTTACCTACTTAAATTTTCAGTGCAAAATGGGGGTAGAGCAGTTGGAAATTGTAAGTTTTTATTTTTTTCCTTTTTTTTACTGACAGCTAGGATTAATTAAGTCAGAATAGTAAAAGGATATAGGTTAGTCTGAGAAGTGGGCTGAGTCCACTTGTTTTCCTGATAGGTGATATTTACCTGCCTTCATGGGATTGTGAGGATATTTTGAGAGACAAAAATGAATGGAAGGATGGAATTAGGGGGGTGTGTGTGTATACGTACATGCATGTTTCTGTATTGGTATATATTTTTTATGTTTAGCTGCCTCTATATTGAAAACTCTTTTAATTTCTCTATAGCCCTCCGCAGCCTTCCCGGAGATTCTTTCCTCCCCCTATGCCACTCTCGAAGCCAGGTAAGAACAGTTCTCCAGTTCTGTACATCAAAGGTCTGCTACTGAAAATGAAGACTGTAGTGTTTTCTTAAGCTATTCAGGACATCAAGAAATGTAATGGAGTGAATGTTGCAAAGGGTGCTGGATCCGTCTGTGCTGGCTGTCTTCCCTTCTGTGTGTTCTTTTCAACCTCCTCTTGCAGGAAGTGATTCTTTGTTCATTAAAGGGTAGAATTTCATTCCTGAGGTGTTGACCATACTCCATGAGATCTGGCTATGACTCTTTATGTGCTTACTGAGCACTTGGCTGGAATTTGCTTATTCATTAACCACTTCATCTTTTTGCTCTCTAACATTCTTGTTTAGTGACTCAGTCTTGTTGAAATGATCCTTGGTTTTCTTTGCTTAATTGTAATAATGCATGCTGTACTTATGTGTTTTTTTCCCATTTCACCTTGTAATTTCCTCCTTCTCCAGCTTTCTCTCACCTGCATATTTCTACCATCCTTTTTTTGTGTGTCTTCCATTCCCTTTGCAGACCATGAAAGAAAAATTGAGTTGATTAGGTATCTTATGTCTGGCTATGTAAACGTGCATGTGCTGAACACACTATCCGAGCATGCCAACGTGCTTGCATCCTCTGCTGTGGCTGCTTTCCAGGATGGAGCTGACCAGCTGCCACCTTTTCTCTTTCTGCCTATTCCCAGTTGTCAGAGTGAGCGGGCTCCTAAACGAGATGGTTAGTAGCCAAACTTGATCTATGGTAGATGTAGAAGTAGTTCCAAAACATGCTTTAAAATTCCTTTTTCCTTATCTTTATCATGTAGTATCCTTGGGACTAGAAACTGCCATGGTTGTGGTCATGGGAGCATGATGCTGTGCTTAAGTTTAGGGCTATTCTAGAGAGAACCATATAGAGAGTCTACAAACTCCGGTGTGCTAGGGATCGCAGACTTTTCTGTGTCACTGGATCTATTCCCTGAAATGTCCTGAACCTCTGATTTTCTTTTGTGTCCTGTTGTACATAGCTTTGTGGTATTGGGATGAGAGATGCTGCATAGGAAGAACCAGCTAGCTGTAGAGCAAATGTGCCGCTGTGTTTTGCATAGGTTTCCTTTTTGCTCATCTTTTTTTTTTTTTTGCCACTAGCAGTGCTGTTCCTCACTTATATTTGTGTTCTCTTTTATTAACAAAAAAAACAACCAACCAAAACTCAACATGCTGGTTATTAATTGTGCCAGAGCAAGTCCATGAGAATTACTGGAATTGCTTTCATGTTTAGTTAAATGTGTCTTTCTGCTGTTTTCTTGGTGCTTTTGAGTTTCTGTGCTTAGCAGTAAACTTGAGTGACTTGGTGTGTTTGATGTTCCTCTTGCTGTGAACAGGATTGAGTCCAGCTGTTCATGTGCAGATACATGATATGATGGGTGTAAGAGAGTGACTGCCCTGAGTGATGAATGGGAAGAGTAAGTGATAACACTGGAGCTTGCTGCCTAGTATGATGGAACTGTAGTGCTGTAAATAACCATTTCTTGTAAAATCTGTCCCTCTAAGGTAGCTGCTATTTTAGCCAGAAAAGAAACAGAATTCACTTTTTTTTTTTTCCAGAAGAGACTACACAGGCACATGTATAAGGACCTTTTCTTAACTGGGGTCTATTACGCCCTTCCAGTGCATGGGAAATTAAGTCATGGTGGAAGCTGAAGGATATACAGAGGTGTGAAGACAGGATAACCTAATGAACACTTGAATAAGGGAAGAATGGGGCTTGAGAGCCTTGAAGGGAGAATAATTATTTGGCTTAATAAAAGCAATGAGATTACTATGTGAAAGGAGAAAAATTGGAAAATCAGCTGCAGAGTTCTAAAAATACCTGTTAGAGTAGATAGGAATGAAACTTTTAAAATGTTCTCATTTACAAAAATGCAATAGAGAAGTTGTGCAATGATAGCTAAAAGGTGTGATGTAAGTATATGTGAAGGAATATCAGATTATTTATAGAATTTCACTTATCCTTTTTTTTCTTTTAATATGGTTTATCCCTACATTTGTATGAAAGGAATTAGAGAAGATCTGGCCAGTAGTAATCACTAGTAGCAAAAGATAAGGAACCTAGAAACATACTTTGGCAGGATTATAGCTCTGGGATAAGTCTTGTTCAGCCTTTTTATGTACAAATTATTTTATCTAAATGGTTACAAGGGACTAGCAGTTTGTAACATGAAGAAGACCAAAGTTTTAAGTGCTAGATTTATTTTTTATTCCCATGTGTGGGGAAGGGAAAATGTATTTTACGGGTGAGTAATGTTGCAGATGAACAGACTGAAGTAATTCTAAATCACAAACAGTTAAACCATAAAGTAACTGATGCACCTTTAAAGAAACTCTTTTTCTGTGGATCTAGAAAGACTGAGTATTTTTACAAGTGTTTTGGATACACTTTTGCTTTTTTTTTTTTTTTAATCTAGTAACTTAGATTTAAAAAACAAAGCTTTGAGAAATAATGATAGATGTAAGCAATATGATTTTTGTAGAAAAGGATGTGGTCTGCATATGTACATAGAATGCATAGGATCACTGAAATGACATGTGTCTGGGAGCCCTAGGGTAAGCTTTACTGGTTCAGTCTTTGTAAACCATTCTTTTTTTTTTTTTCTTCTTTTTTTCTTTCTTCAAGTGCCAGCTACAAAGCTAAATACTATGAGCAAACCCAGCTTGGGCCAGAGTGTGAGCAAATATGATCTCCTTGTGTGGTTTGAGATCAGCGAATTGGAGCCAACGGGGGAGTAAGTCCCATCTTAATCTTTTGTGTTTTAAGAGCAGTGGTTTATGGGAGCTTGATCTTTTACCCTTTGTTCTGTTCAGGCAAGGTTGATATTTAGCAGTCATTATTGGGTGGTGGCCTGGCTGGTTTGTAGTGATTGAGTATAAATTCTGCTGGTATTCGCTGTCCCCATTGGGAGGGACTGAAGAGATGGAATGACATCCTTTCACATTTGAAGTACTCTTTCCACTTTGAAGGCCTGTGCATGTGAGCTGAATGGGTACTGGCAAAAGTTATCCTGTGTGGGCTATGAGTTTAGATTCTTTGGCTGTCTAGAGATTTTATGCTCCAGAAGTCATCTAGCAGGCCCTATTTTATGTTCACCTCTGCTACGGAGATGGTTTTCCCCTGACAGGGCTTTAAGGATCATTTTGAGAAGCGAGTTCCACAGAGTTTTCCAGAAGTACTGGAAGTACAGTATATGATACTTTAATATTTCACTGATACTGTGGTGCCAAAGAGTCCAGTCTGAGAGTCAGTAGAAACACTCTTATTTCTTCAGATATTATATGGAGAGGTAACTGTTGGCAGCAGAATACAGAGTAAAGTTGCTGTGCTGGTATATCTTTCCTGTCTGTTGATTGCACTGTCTCACACAGGTATATTCCTGCTATTGTGGACCACACTGGAGGCCTGCCCTGTCAGGGGACATTCCTGCTTCACCAGGTACTAATGAAGGCTGTAGAACAGCAAGTTTAATCTCTGGAGGGGGATTAGAATGCTAATAACTGGATTTTGCATCCTTCATGTCTTCTTTCCCACACAGCTGTCTAATGATAGCTGTAGGGTCAGTCATCTGTCAGTCTGTACTTAGTCTGTTAGCTTTGAGCTATGAGGAGAGTATGTTTGGCCTCTAGTATATTGCTGTTTCCCTTGCCTATCAGTGTGCATCCCACTCATGAAAGATGAAAACTTTTCAAAAAGCAGGAACCTTTGCGACTGGATTTGTGCCTTCTGTGTTCGCCAGCATCTCTGCTAAGGACACAGAAGGATCATGTGGACTCAACTTTCATTGGTTCTTTCTCACTGCATGTGGCTATGAGACAGAGCTACAAAATGACCATGTCTCAGTGCATTTTAAATGCCTGTCATAATCCTTAATAATAATTTGTCTTTAGCTAGATTCTAAAGATAATCCTAGTTAAATACTGTTTATAGGTTTATGTTATATTTTTTCTACTCTCAAATTCTCAGTTCCGTTTCACAGAGTTTACCTGTGACTTGCATTTCCTCTTTCTCTTAAAATGATAGCAACAGTTCTTATAGTTTAGGAATAATGGTCATATTGCAATAATTTCCTTTAAAAAATTAATATAGATGTTACTCAGTTCTGGATCTACTGGTGTCCTCATCAGAAACTTCCAGTTTAAACCAGAGTAATTCTGACCTCTGTAATTCCATTGCCAAATCCACAGTGTAGTCAAACATCTTTCAGCTTCTTTTGAAACAGTTACACACTAAGCATCTTCTCCCTGGATAGTTGTCTTCTACATTTGAAAGAGTGGGATCTGTTACAACTAACACCTGGGGAATTTTTCTTTTTCAGATGTGGTGTTTATTTCTATTTTACAATTTTACCTTCTTCCCAGCTACTACAGAATTTTATTATATTTTGACTTGTTCAGGTACATGTGACAAAGGAGGCCAATATCTGCATGAGCAGTTGCTATTTTCTAGTAACTTCTTTTGGTATATACGCTTTAATATAAATACATAAGCACACATTAGCCAAGTATTTGCTTGTTTTTTGGTCAACTCTGATATATCCCAGGGACCATACATATCTTCTTTGAGAGTGTAGCAACAATTTCAGGAATGTTTTGGGTTAAAAACCCCCTGCCTTTGTGGATCGAGGAGGGAGAATTGTAGTTTCTGTTACATATGAGAATATAATGCTCCTCTTAAGTTGATTTTAGGGCCCTGAAAGACACAGGTGCTTGTTCACAGTTACAGGCTAATTTAAATTATCTTATTTTCTTCATTTTTGCAATATAAGTGCAAAATGGATGATGTTAGTGTGTGTGTGTGTGTGTGTGTGTGTGTAAATACTTCACCAGTGTTTTGTTTTTGAACTCTACCAGGGAATCCAGCGTAGAATCACAGTCACCATTATCCATGAGAAGGGCAGTGAGTTGCACTGGAAAGATGTGCGAGAGCTGGTTGTTGGTGAGTATATTGTTTTGCATGTTGCTATAAGGAAGAAAAAGTAAGAATGATAATTTTTCTTTGCATCAGATTCTGTTGTGTTTATGAGTATTAGCTGTGAGAGGAGGATTTTGAAAAAGATCCAGAGGAAAAACTTAAGTTTTGCAATTTTCACTTACAGCTGCTTGTTAATCACAGTCTGGAATTATATTTGTGAAAACAAATTCCTCCTGTGTTTCAGGTTTAGTTTTAATTGATTCCCCCCCTCCTACCCTTTTCAGGGCGTATAAGAAATAAAGCAGAGGTAGATGAAGCTGCTGTGGATGCTATTCTGTCTTTGAATATTATCTCTGCAAAATACCTGAAGTCCTCTCACAGCTCCAATAGGTAAGTGGATAAAGTGAGCACTTGAGCAGGAATCTAAAATTTCTTTAACTTCTGAGGTATTGGGACGATGTTTGGAAAGTTAGGAATGTTGCTAATTATTAAACTTAGAATTCCTTGGGCACAGGACATAGAGATGGAGAATGAATGTTACCATAAATTCTTGCTAAAGCTGAAGTCCGTTGGTCTACATGGAGGATTTCTTGATAATGCATTTGAATTACTTTCCATGTGTAAGCACCATAAAGGGAGGATAGAAAGGAACAACTTAAGCAAGTCTCAGAATTCAACCCAGAACTTTTAAACTGACATCAACGTTTGTTGCTAGAATACAGCATTGAGGTACAGGGGCAATCTTGGGGGATATATTTATGGATGTGGACATACCTATATTATTCCTGGAACAAGCATGTGACAATTTAAGCAAGAGCCGTGCTTTATAAGTGAAACTTCATAATTTGTGGATTTATACAGCTGTATCACATTTACTCCAGTTCTAATAAAGGAATGCCTATTCCATGTAACTGCAGTCATTTGGGCAACAGCAGGGCCCCTGGCTGAGGGGTTTCTGGCTGCTTGTGTCTCATTAGGGTGCATTGCCGTAAAGATCAGTCAGACTCCACATTGTTTTGCTTCAGTGTCTGCAACAAAGGGCAGTGAAGCAGAATGCTGCATTGCCGGCACAGACTCTCCCTACTCTGACATCAGCCAAGTCACTTGACCACTCAGTGGCTCTGTTTAGCTGGTGCAAAGCAGGAATATCTCTGAAATTTAACTGAGTGTTTCCAGAGGGGAAGGTGTTGTTTTGGAGCCCATTTCTGCTGCAGCTATTGAACGCTGGAGGCAGTATCCTACTAAGAGCTGAAATGGCTTCTTCCTTCTCCATTAGAGGCTTGGACTTTGAAATAGCACTGTGATATTAAAGGTGGATTCAGGACAGTGCTCCTACCCGCTGAATGGCTTCCTGCCACCTAGTGACTGCAGATGCACAGTGACTCTTTAGCAGTTAGTCTTTGCCTCCCACTGAGAAGTGGATGTTTTAGTGTATTTGAATTAATGGATCAGTATAACTGGAACATAAGAGGACTGTTGCTCTTTTCTAGTCTGATTACTATTAGATTTGGTTGGAAAGCCCTATACTCCCTGTTCTCTAGCAATTCCAAGGAATTCCTATATAGCTCTGTAGTTTTCTATTAGGTGGGCCACTTGGATGAACAATGAGTGTGAGCTCATTGAATGAGTGAAGCTGTTGATCATCTCTTGCCAAAATGCCAAGGTTTAAGTTGTGGGATGAGTGCACGGCAGGGTGGTGGAGTGGGATTGAAGCCCTGGTAAGGGATATGTCTTATGTTTGCTCATTGTCTGCAGACTTATTTTCTAGCTGGTTTGTGTGGTTTTTGTTGTGGGGTTTTGGTTTTGGTTTGTTTTCGGTTTTAAGTCCACTTGTTTTGCTCCTCTCAGCTGTTGCTTTTTTGTTTGGCTTTTGGCTGCACTAACTGAAGCTCTTTCTATGTTTTTACAGGCTCTTTCTTGATAAGGATATGCCTAGGTATTTTCTGTTTGCTTCTTTTGTACATAAAGATTCTTGAAAACAGAATGCTTTATGTCCCATTTTGTATTGCTCCCACTTTCCTTTTAGCTTTTACTGAATTCTGTTAGCACACCTTTTAGCTCTTGAAGAAGTAGTATACCTCCTCCTCCTTTGTGTCAGGGGTTTGTTAGGTACAATTCAGTGGGGAACTCGTGAAGGTAAACTTTCATTCACATGTAAGAGATCACTTCATTCAGTCTTTCTGATTTGCAAAATGTGCCATCAGAATATAGTCCCTATTTGTAGTCCTTGCTATTTCTTCCTTTGTTCTGTATGAAAGAACTACATTTGTAATTTCTTACTATCTCTGACTCTGTAATGCTTGCCATATTGAAGTACCAAGTCAAGGACTGAATGATTAGGTTACTTGAAATTCCAGCTCAGAATTACACTGAACAAAAAGCAGTGGCTGCTGTGTGACTGGCATTCATCCTCTGTTCTTAGGTTGGATTTGCATCTGAAATTTAACCATGTGGTCGCTGCTCCTTAGTTTACCAGTTGGCAGGGAAGTGAGACATGTAGTAGCTGCTCAGACTGGATTTCTCTTTCACCTTCCAGATTGAATCGCAGCCAGGCATGCTGGCTGCACAATCTGGGACAATTTGCACTCTGCTTTCTGTCTTCTGCCTTTTTGAAAAAGGGAAGACTTAAGTCCTCAATGTTTTCAATTTACCACCTTTCACTAATGCTAAGATCCACTTAAAAATCAGTTTTAACTATACATTAGTGCCTTTAACCCGTTTCTCCTGTTTTCCATGCTTTGCTCATCTGTGCTCCATTTTCTTCCTTGCACTATTGGCTATGCTGAAAGAAGTTTGCTCGCTTCTGGTTTTTGTCTCCCCGTATAACTATACTAGCAAGTTCTGGTTTGGACAGGCAAGACTGTGTATATTTAACTTCCTGGCTAGACAAAATCCAGTGGAGTAACTGTTTCTAAGCTATACTTGACTTCAACTTGGTTTTCATCCAAAAATCCTCATTTTGCTAAAGAAGGGCATTTAGTGCTGCACTGATGAACATTTATACCTGTGTTCTCCCTTCATGGTGAGAAGTCATGTTTGGCAAATGGTGCAGAGCTGATTCAGGGGCTTTCCCATCTGTGGAAAACCAGGTTTTACTACTTTTTCTTCCATGCAGATAGTAGATCTGGAGCTTGCTAAACGTTTAAAACAATCACTCTCATAATTAAGACATGATGAAAGATAAAACGTAGGGACTCGACACAGATATGTAAAAGGTTAGGGGACAACCTATGTTGTTTGCCTAATCCAACTCAAGTAAGGATTAGTACATTACAGTGCTTTTAAAGTTGTCAAGTACTTAGCCTTTAGAATGTGTTTCTCTGTAAAATTTTTAATAGAAGCAAGACATTTAGAAGTAATTTCTTAAGTATGCTACTTCAAATGCAAACAGTGTTTAGCAACATTCTCATATTACTTGATTGCACAGTTCGTGGTGTCTCAGTGTATCAGCTCAGAATTGTGTAACTGGTATCAGGAAAGGGGGAATCTTGGGAACTCTTATTTGAGATCAGAGCTCTTTGTTTCTGATATGTCTGCTCTTAGGCTGTTTCATGTTTCTTCTTGTTTTGTTTTATTTCTTTCTTCCACCTCCACCCTGCTTTTTCTCATTTGGTTTAATTTTCTGTTTTTCTGAGTTGGCCTTGGGCATTAGTACAGAAGCTCTTTAGAGATATAACTTGTTTCTAAAAAATAATATACGTGAAGCATCTTCTTGCTTTTGGTACCATGTCATTTGGACTCAAAATGGGATAGAAAACCTCAGCAGCAAGGGGACTTGGGAGGGAAATTATATGGAGGTGAAAAAGAATTAATACCTTCTTTGTCTGTTACCAGTGTAGAAAAGCATGCTGTATGCCTGAATAAGGGTATATAGCTTCTTTCCAAAAGAACCTCCGCTGAAATCAGTCTCTACCTGTGAGAAAGGAGAAAGCTCATTTCTCTAAGCCCCTGTTAGAGTGGAGAGAGTATAATGGTGACTCTAGATCTGATGACTTAGCTGTCCTGTGTATGATGCTGTCTCTCACTTCTTACTTGAACAGGTGAACTTCCTTGATTGGTGGGGTAGAACTGTGGGAGCCTTCAGCTCCTTTCTTTCCATGTACCAAATTGAAGAAACTTCTTACAAAAGTTTGTGTTAAATCTGCTAGTTTTTGCTTGAAGCTAGTAGGGACATAGAAAACTTTATCACTTCAGTATAGGACTTATCCCTACCTATCAAGCATTCTGATTTGCTATCAGAAGCTGCTGAGTTTATAAGAGAGAGTATTAGAGGGATCTTTTCTGTTTCTATATGTTACTCCTAAAATATGATGTAGAATAAGTGTTACTTGTAAAAAAAGAATCTTCGCATACAGTTTGGAGGTTCAGCTGGACTGAATTGCACCTGAGGCAATAGAGAGGAATTCTGTATGTTTAGAAACACTGTTCTTTAGTGATGGCTTCCCTATAGTGTTATGACAGCTCTTGTTCTCTTCTGTATTCTCTCTTTACTCTTTTAGATGAATCTTTCATAACAGGCAATGGTCTCTTATGTCGCACTATTTGAGGTAGAAGTAAGTAATCTTGGGAAAGAAGAGAAGGTCTTTGCTTCAAGTCTTTGTTATCTAAGCCACTGAGGCTCATTGGAAGTCAAGGAAGAGATGCTTTACACCGAACTATGAGAGGGGTGGAGAGGAACTCTTACTATTGAGCTTTTATCATACTTTTTTCCAGGACTTTCTATCGGTTTGAAGCAGTTTGGGATAGCTCCTTGCATAACTCCCTTCTCCTCAATAGAGTGACACCATATGGAGAGAAGATATATATGACACTTTCTGCCTACCTGGAGGTTAGACACCTATGCCTTCCTTTTTGCTTGTGACTCAAATATAACTATTTGAGACAGCAGACAGTGTGTACCTGAGATAAATACTTACTGGACTAAGTGTTTTTGAATCATGAAGCTAATGAAAGTCTTTATTGAACAGGGTGGAAAAATTTATTCACAGTTAACACCTTGATGTCAAGGTATTACTGCCTTGCAACAAATGTGAAGCAAAACTGGGGATCTCCTTACATTTCTGTGCCTCATTTTATCTATTTTTGTATCTGAAAATCCACTGAAATCAGTGTCTGTTGCTATGTAAGTACTACTAGTGTTACAAACCCTGGCCTAGCTCTTTGCTTTTTGTGCAAGACACTGTTGTTTTGTGTGGTACAATTATTTCACCCACAAGATGCATCAAGAAATTTGACAGTTCTCTTTCACAGAAGCACATATGAAAACCCTTCACCAAAGACCCAAACAAGAACAAATTTCAAAAAGCTGACACGCTAAAAGAGGGAAGCAGTATAATTTGGCACAGTTATCTGCAGCCACTCATTCATTACTGTTTTTTCTCCTAGCTTGACCACTGCATCCAGCCTGCTGTTATAACAAAGGATGTTTGTATGGTCTTTTATTCACGAGATGCCAAGATCTCCCCACCGCGATCACTACGCAGTCTCTTTGGCAGTGGCTATTCCAAATCTCCAGATTCGTAAGTTCAGTTACCAATTCTGGTGTTGATGTTTTATGTCAGCATATGGTCTTTCTCTCAGAGAGCAAGGGGAGACTGTAGCTCAGTTTTCTTTATTTCTTCCTTGAAAGCCTACCTAGCTATACTTCTCCAGACCAGTTTTGAACATTCTTTCTGCACTTAATTCAGTGAAACTTTGATGGTTTCTCTCTTCATTGACCCCTGTTCCAGTCTTCTGACTGAACAGTTGGGAAGAGAGATCCATCTTTCAAGCTTGCACACAGATTACCCTGATCCTGACCTAGAATTTACTGCAGCAGCTGCTGTCTGAGTCTAATGGGGGGGTGAGGGGAAACATGGGGCAAATGCCATTTTTAGAGATCATGCAGTCTTCCCTGCCTATTTCATGTAAAGATTAGAATTCAGATGTAGTTCTAACTAACAACTATCCTTAAACTTCAAATTTGGGGTCCATTTAACTAAAGCTAATGCACTTTATTTCTGAAGATAATAGGGTTTTTTCCCCCTCTCTGGTTTCTTTTGAACAGCAATCGAGTAACTGGGATCTATGAACTAAGTTTATGCAAAATGTCAGACACAGGAAGTCCAGGTAAGCAGTGACTGGGTGTTCAAGTGACAAAGATGCTGTAAACTGAAATATTGCAGAAAATATCATAAGCAGAACTGAGTAAACACTTCTGTCCTGATGGGAAGCAGTTCTTGTGTTTCATAGGAGCAATGGGACATTGCTATTCCATAAAAAACTTATGCAGACTTTTACTTTCAACTTGGGTCTGTGTTTACCATTGGTGAACCAAGGATTCCCTGAACACTTTATATTTTCTGACATGGGTATGGCAGGGAACAGGGCATGTACCTGAGCCATAGACTTAGGGGGCATAATACATGGCTCATAACTAACACAGTTAAGACTTGGTTTTGCAGCAACAGAATTTTCTCTTTGTCTTTTGAAGAGATTGCCGATATCTGAAGCAAGCTTGGTAACTTGGAAGGAATGTAGTTCACATAGTATCAGTATATTTTTCCTCCAAGACCTAGCAATTGAAGTTCTTCCATTGAATTAGACTGAACAGGAGTTTGTGTTTTATCATAGTCAATAGAAAATATCTGAATGAAGGAAGGAAGGTGGACTAAATCAAATCTTTTTGGGATGTGTGATTGCTGTTAATGAAACTCTTGCCCTGTACATTTCCAGCCAAAGAGCAGAAGTGTTGGTTCTTCACAGGTTGCTAATTGGTAAGTGTTTCTTAGTGGCATCTCTCTGGCTATGTTTTTAACATGTTTTATGATGTTTTTCACTGGTCAGGAATGCAGAGGAGGAGAAGGAAAGTCCTGGATACATCTGTGGCCTATGTACGAGGAGAGGAGAACCTGGCAGGTTGGAGGCCCAGGGGTGACAGCCTCATTCTAGAGCATCAGTGGGAACTGGAGAAACTGGAGCTGCTGCATGAGGTGAGTAGAGACAGGGGAAGTAAAAGAAAAAGCACAACTGTACCTTTGAATTTGCCTTTAGTCTACCCACTGTGAGACCTTCTGAGCTGAACAGGTTCTCATATGGGAGTTTGTTCTCAAAGTGAAAATTTAAATCTATTCTCCAACAGAGAGGATAGAAGGTGTGTGGCTGGCTGCCGAGTAGAAATCTTCAACTCAGAATTTCTGTGTATTCAAAGACAGATTGAACTTCTAGTGCCACTGTAAACTCCCCTCCCCAGGGTAGATATTTAGTGGTATGAATCTTAAAAGAATGCATAAGAATTCAATGCCTGTAAAACAGACAACGTTCAGGAGCAGATGATACTGATTTCTTTCCTTACTAGGTGGAAAAAACCCGACATTTCCTTCTGCTTCGTGAAAAGCTTGGTGACAGCATCCCCAAGTCCCTGAGTGACTCATTGTCTCCCAGTCTAAGCAGTGGAACCCTCAGTACCTCCACCAGCATTTCCTCACAAATTTCAACTACAACATTTGAGAGTGCTGTGACCCCCAGTGAGAGCAGTGGCTATGACTCAGCAGATATAGAGAGCCTGGTGGATCGGGAGAAAGAGCTGGCCACCAAGGTATAGCATGAGAAAAGCATCATGGGTCTAAATTGAGGTGCCAAAGATGATTAAAGATTAACAATGAGCTTCTCAGATAGCATGGTGAATATCCAGTATTGTGTGAGTTTTGGTTTAATATGCTCTATATTGAAATAATATATTCTCACCAGCCTGTGCTGGGGGCTAGGTTTGTGCTATGGCTGTACCTCGTTCCCCTTTGTTAGTCGTTCTGTAAATTAAACTTGCTAATTTTATCAAGGGAGGTGATTATTCCCCTCTTCTGGGATTTTTCACATCAGTTTGGAATTTGTTTCTTTTTTCATGAGCTGCCAAGTGTGTCTTGGCAAATTGCCTCTTGTGTTCAAATTTCTCTGAAAATCTAAATGTAAAATTCTTTTCTGTGTCTGTTTTTTTTTTCCCCCATTCAGTGTTTGCAGCTTCTTACTCACACTTTCAATCGGGAATTTAACCAGGTGTACAACAGCATCAGTGATTGTAAGGTAAGTATTTCACTCAATACAATACACTATATTTGTAGAACAATAGCAAAATATTTGTAGTTCGTGGAATCTGCTGATACTGTGAAGAGACAAAACACATAATTTTAATTTTATTTATTTTTCAGTCCATTGAAAGCATTTGGCTATTCAGCATCAGGTTCCAAAGGTTACTGCAGGAATTAGGCATGGTGTGAACTTGGACTATAGTATAGCTTCTAGTTTATTAGAAGACTGGAAGTGCTCTTACTGTCTTTCCCTACATGTGCTTTCCCTATGCAAAAGGATAAATGGGCTCTTTTAAAAGGTCTGACTGTAAGCACAGAGACATCAAGTTGCAAACTGTAGTCTAATATTCTACTGAGGAAGTCAGGGTGTGAATAATCAGAAGTGTAGGACATTAATAACAAGCTGTGTCTACAGAAGTGCCGTTGTATTTTCACCCCCAGATGGGTTTATGATGGTTGTGTGCAAAACTTGGACTACTGAGCAGGGAAATGGCTCATAGAAATACTTTTCTGTTATCTGAGCCTTTGGCATGCTGAATGCCATGTTCTAGCCAGGACTGAACACTAGTTACAAAAACCTCTCCTCTGTAATATGTGTATATTTGTCCTTGTAGTTGTCAGATATTTCTCCAATTGGGCGGGACCCCTCGGTGTCAAGTTTCAGCAGTGCTACCCTCACACCTTCATCTACCTGCCCTTCTCTGGTAGATTCGAGATGCAATTCAATTGATCAGAAGTAAGTATAGGGTATTCATAGAAAAACATTACTTCTCAGTGCTTCACAAATCTTTGTTACGTTTTCTGATTTTTTTTTCCTCCCCCTTTCTTCCTTTTTCGTACTTTCAGATATTTCTCTGTACAGCCTCCTTACCTTCTCCAATCACTCAGCACAATTATTTTCCCCCATTTTGTTATTTTGAAGTGTTTTGTTTTTTCTTTTCTCTTTGTGCTGAAAGAACAGTCAGATGCTTGTCATTCCAGTGACCAGTGCATCTTCAGTGAGTAGAGTGCACAAGTTTTGTTCAGAGGTCTGTTAAAAAGACCTACTAACAACAACCCAGAATAAACCAGTTTGGCCAGTAATCTCTGTTTATCTTTCTCAGCTGTATCTATAGAAGATATTTTTTGATGAAATTGGGAATAACTATTCAGTGAAAGACATGTAAATTGTACCTTCTCAGTTTAACATCCCTCAGAGGAGGAGTGCTGTATATTTTACATCAAACCACAGTAAGACGTATGTCTGCGTTGTGACTGTGTTAGATGAGAAACAAGGGAGGAGAAGTGGGGAAAAAACTTACCAGCAGTTATTGGAAGTTTTAATCCACAGATTTCAAGGGGAATGCTATTTGATATTGTATGAAAGGATCCCAATGTCATACAAAAAATCTGGACTAGAGGGTGAAACTCATAAGAGAGGCTAGGCCGTAGATGTGCTTTAAATTCTATTGTCACATTCAGTTGGTTTGTTGTGATTTACTTTTCTTTCTTCACTTTTTTTTTTAAAAGGACACCAGAAGCAAATTCTCGTGCCTCCAGTCCCTGTCATGAGGTGGAACAGTTCCAGCTAATTCCCACGGTGGAAACTTCTTATCTTGCCAGAGCTGGAAAGAATGAATTTCTAAACCTTGTTCCTGATATTGAGGAAATCAGACCAGGGTGAGTTTTCTATTGTCATGTGATCCTGGCTTCCTGAGAGCTGTCACAAGGGCTTTCTGAGATTTGTAGTTTCTTTGCCCCATTTGATGAAGTTAAATTAAACAAATGACAGAAGAACTGTAGAGTCCTGTGTGATGGGGGGCAGGATTGATGAAGACTGTGTTGATATTTGATCTCTGCAGCATTTATTCCCTGCATCTACTTAAAGAACAGGTTTTCAAGTGTCTTAAATATAATGTCTGTTATCATCAAAACCATGGCTGAAGTTTAGATCTTTATGGGTCCTTCTTTCTGTCAGACTTCTGGATAGTTCTTGAAGACAAAACTCAGCTTGCTATAGAAGAACTTTTTCATAATAGTTGCAGATAAAATATATTAAGGACCAAGTGTCTTATACAGTGTTTTGTAGCTAATAGGGATACTCAGTAGGTGCCTTATGTAGGGGAAAATGGATTCTTGCTTATCTTTGAGTTTGTTTTGTTTTGTTTTTTTTCCAGCTCTGTGGTCTCAAAGAAAGGATACCTTCACTTCAAGGAGCCACTCTCCAGCTCCTGGGCCAAGCACTTTGTGGTGGTTCGCCGTCCCTATGTTTTTATTTACAACAGTGACAAAGATCCTGTAGAAAGAGGAATCATAAACTTATCCACAGCTCAGGTGGAATACAGTGAGGATCAACAGGCAATGGTAAAGGTCAGTCTGGGACCTACTGTTTGTTTACCTATACAGCAGGAACATTACAGGTAGTAGTGCATCCATACCACCCAGTGTCTCATCTCTGGTCTGAGGAAAACACATCTGTGTCTTGGAGAATGTCTGGCATTTGATGATTCTGCCCACAGAGTTCCCAGTTTGTTCGTGGTTTCTTGTATTTTGGACACATTTGTACAAAAGACTGAAACTGCTGTTATGCATCATATTTGATTTTATGAGCATGTGTATCTTCACCCTGTGTGTTTGGTTTTTATAGTTTCGTTTGTGTGGTGTTTTGGGGTTGTGTGTTTTGTTTGTTTGTTCAAAGAAACCCCAAACAACACACACAAACATCCTGCAGGGACTCAAATTAACTTTACTGGTCCATCTCAGCACCTCTTAAAGTCTACACTCATAGTTAAAACTGTATTTTGTAGATGTCCCATTTGACTGACTAATATCCTGGAAATGACCAGTGAAACTTAAATGGAAGACCTTAGGTGTTATGGTTTTTAGGAATGTGACATAGCAAACTCTTCCTCGGAGAGGAAGTACACATCAGCTTCTGTGCTCATAGACTTTAAATTGTCCTTAATATTTCAGACACCCAACACATTTGGTGTATGCACAAAGCATCGTGGGGTCCTGCTCCAGGCCATCAATGACAAAGACATGAATGACTGGTTATATGCCTTCAACCCACTTCTTGCTGGCACAATACGGTAAGAGGCAGTTCATGGGCAGAGAGCGCTGCAAAGCATAAGGATTGTGAGATAGTCATAAGCAAGGAGGCAGATAGTGTGTCACAGAATTTAATCTTGTTCTGAAGAATTTGATAAGATGGGTGAACCAGAAGAAGGAGGAGGGTGGAGAACAACAACAAAGAAATCAAACAAGCCCTCTGTTTTGGGAAATTCAGTGCCTGTTGCTTTGGCTTGTGACATTCTTACGAGATTTATCCAGTTTGAACATGTGTGGTATGCTTCATGCAATACTACAATTGGAGGCCACAAAACGGTTTCCTTGTACTGCTCTTCTACAGATTTATAAAGCTTCTTGCTACCTCTGTGCAGACGGGTCTGGACTGCCTTGTGAGCTAAAGCAGAAATTCTCATTTTATTCCCTTTTTTTAACTTTTGTAGAAGCCTTCCCTTTGATGCAGGTCACAGACATCCCCTGCTTTCTGGAGAGATCTTACTGTGCTACAGTAGCTCTTCCTTTCGGTAAAAAAAAAACACAAATCCAAAACCAAACCAAACCAACAACAACAACAAAAAAAACAACAAACAAACAAACAAACAAACAAACAACAAAAAAACCCCAAACTAAGCTATTTCTATACAGCATCAAATAATTTCTCAACAGTGCAGTTCTTAAAAGATCTCACCTTCCTTTAAAGGAGCACAGCAGAAGAGTGAGAATTCTTTCTCATTACAGCCCTTGATGTATTTTACTTTCTAAACATATGAAGTAAACTAGGATTTAAAGGATGTTAAAAAGGATTTAAGAAAAAGGTAGACAAACTGTGGGGAGGGAAGAAAAATAAGCTTCCAGAATTCAACAAATACTTTTCTACTTCTTTCTTGCACAGGTCAAAACTGGCTCGAAGACGCACGGGCCAGCTGAAGTACTGAGTCCATGTAATGTTCTCATCTGTTCGCCGTAACTCACCTTCTGATAGATAAAGTGTTACCTCTCATTTTCTCTTTGTGACTCTTGACAGTTTCTCTTGTATGTAATCCTGTGGCTTAACATCCCCTACCTTCCCACACTCCTTCAGCACATTTTCTAGGTATTCTAACCCTACCTTGTTTCTTTTCACTTGTACTGAGAATCGTACTAGTAGCATGTGGCCAAACAAAAAGAGAAAGGAAAAAAAAAAAAAAAAAAAAAAGAGTGATTATGCACGACTCTAAAAACAACAAAAAAAAAAGTTATTTATTTTTTCTTATAACAATTGTTTTCCCATTCCAACTGACCTTTTGGTGTCTGTCCCACTGTCCATTGTTGTCTGTCTAGACTGCTGCAGGTTTTTCATTCAATTTGTGACTTGGCAGTAGTCATTGGTTCCCTCAGGGCAAAGTTCTAATGCCAGGGAAAGACAAATTCTTCTATGTAGACATTACTCAGCCAGGAACTGCAATAGCTCCTAAGGCTTTCTGGATCCAGCCTCTAATTTAAACTCTGTTGAAAGCTGATATTGGACAAATCTATCTGGGCAGACTGGATTTTGGACTTGGTGCATGTTTTTGAGTTTCCAGGGTCCAACAGGCTAAGGCATGAGCTGGAAAAAGCTGGGGAAGAAACCAAGAGGGACTGGCTAGAATAATCTGGCTTTGAACTCTTGCTGTGGGGTTGCAGGAGAAGAGCGTTTGGCTTTAACTCTTTCCCTAAACATTAGCACTCACTTCTCTGCCTCTGAACTGAGCTGGAGAGATGGAACTTGTGCTGATGTGAGGGGAAAGTAAGCCACATCGCTGAAATATTAGATATAATCCCTAAAGTTTTAGATGCTCAGCCTCGAATTTGGCAGACGGAGAGTGTTAAACGGAAATGGAGCAGTGTGGTTGTTTCCTAGAGCGCTTTCCGGAGATCACCACTGGAGGGCAGTATCTCCTCGTTCCCCGTTTAGTCCTGACTTCTGAGTTCCTGTAGCAACAGTTCGCACCTCTCCTGGAAGAGCTTTACGGTTGTCATTGGTGTGTTAGGATAGACTGCTCTTTGGCATCGTTCTGAAAGGCCTGCTTTATGCATGCATCCCTTATCTGTAACACTCAGATGACGTCCCATCTGTTCATGGGGAGACCATTCTCTGTCTACAAAATACTTTCTAGACCTAGCACTTGCAGTATTCTCCAGGGAACAACAGGACACTTCCACCTCCTTTTGTTGAGCACCTCCTAATTTCCCTGCTACATTTTTCATCAGCTAAAACCCCCTGGTTTTAACTTCAGAATTAATCCTTCCTGGAGGATGGATCAAGTGGACTCTGGTCCTGATCAGTGGGGTGTAATAATTGTCTTCCTGGATATCAACTGGGTGGTGTTAGTTCTTGATCTACAAATTAAATTCTCTTTGTGGCCAAAGTTTTGGTCCTTGCCCTGAGAAAGGAAAGCAGAATGAATTTCCTTTCTGAGAATTGAACTCATCTTTCTTAGGTTTTCAGGGAGGTTGTGGGGGGGAGTGGTTTGTTTTCTTCTTCTATGTTTCAGACTGCTGTGCTATATTTTCTTAACTTACCTTGGGCACTAATAGGGCTAGCTGTGATCCTGGGCTATGTACAGGAATTTCATCCTGAGGTTCCAACCTCTCAAGGGAGAGGTAAAAGGGTTTTGTTCTACTATTACAGTAGGCACATCTAGGTACACTCCAGCTCAAGAAGGTCACTTTGTTTCAGCTCTCATCAGCAGGTCATGCCATGCATTGGAAATTCTGTGGCCAGAAGTGTACATGGGACTGGCATCCGCTGAGCAAGATTTTAGCTTTATGGGGTTTTCATTCTTCAGTGAAGCGCAATGCACAGTGAGACCTCAAAGAAACATGGTTGGCAAAGGAGCAGGGAGATGGAGTCTGACATTTGCTAGGACATATCTTCATATATTTCAAGATAGTACTCAAGCTAAATCATGTGCTCATGCTATCTCCTGTGGTCCTCAGATTTATTTCAGAACTGGAAACCAGAATGAGGGAGCATCCTGGGGACCCAGGAGCATAATAGGGATGGTGTTTGTGTTTTGTTTGTTTCGTTTTTGTTTCTGTTTTGTTTTTGTTTTTTTTTTTCTTCTGGTTTCATCTTGTTTAATTGTGTGTGACTCTTCATACGGTGGTAATATTCCTTTGTTACAACATGGATGATAATGTTCTTCTAGTGTGTGGAGAAGGAAGACTGCTAGTGCTGCGGGAGAGCTCCTCAAACTGAAGTTGAGCTGATCTCAAGAATTAGGTTGATTTCAAGCACTAAGCTGTTGTTGCCATCACCACCATTTATAATGAAAGTGGAACCAGTTTGAGGAGGTGTAGCGATTTAGGTAGTAGTATTTTGTGACACACTGTGAGCATTTTACTTCTTATCTGTTACTTTTTTAACTAGAAAAAAAACCTAGTTTGCTAAGTCTTTGCTTTGGATAAGCCAGAAAATGAACTAAGGGGTTATAGGCACTGCATAGAAACATGATTAAGGGATCTTCCTTTAAAAGCAGGAAGAGACAGATGCTTATTTTATACAGAGCTGGGAGTGTTTTAGCTCTGTTGTGTAAATGTTACTCTTCCATCTAAAGATTCCAAGCAACTTCTGGTGACTTGATGTCTATGTGGATAACAGATCACCAGAAGAGCAAAATCAGATTTTTAAGCATCAGTATCTCTTAAAGCTGCATAATATGTGACAAAATAGATTCTTGTGTGGAGTTCAAATGGGCATTATTATTTTCAGGTTTGACATGAAGGCATACAGTTACAGTTTTTCACCAATTATTGAAGCCTACTTTGAGAAATCAGTTTCCCTACTTAAAACTGGACTGAAATAAATTCAAGTTTTCTTTAAAAGGCTAACAAATAATAAAAAAAAAAAAAGTGGATTTCTATTCACATCAAAGCATTTTTGATATAGCCCAACATGTTAGAAATTTCTCATTACAAACAGAGCAAGAAGTGAAAGATGTGCTAAGCTGCCTTCTCTTTAAAAACCCACTCCTGGTTACCTGCTGAGTGTGTGAAGTCCTGGAGTCAGACAGCTCCTAGGACTCAGCCACTGGAGACGAGGCATCATGCTGTGGGCCTGCCAGCCCACTGAGCATAAGCACTAGTAGTAAACTTGATAGGCATTCCTGGGAGAGGATGAGTGTGAAACTGCGCTGTTGTTGGGGTTTTTTATGTTCTTTGCTTAAAGGAAGGAGAAAATTATCTTTTTTGTCCATTGAAAACCATCTTGTTGGTGTTCGAGCTTCCTGGATATTTTGAAACTAAGCTAAACCTCCTATACTGTATTTTAGAAATGCACTTTAAGTACCTTTTTAAAGAAGATTCCTATATTCTGGGATGAAGAAGGGAACGGAATATTATTTCCAGACCACTAAGAAAGGGGCTTTTTTGGTCAGTATCCAATAGTCCTTATTACTGATTAGCAAGGTATTTCAAAGCAAAGACTTTACTTTTTGCTGCTTATTATCTAATTTACAGGGATTTAATTTTATGTAATGTATTGTATATTTATACATCTGTAATTAATTGCACATTAGATAAGAAAGTGGATTTGGTATAACGCCCGTTGGTACTATACAATCAACTAATACTGCCTATGCATATGCATCTTTCTGGTACTCTTGCACAGCCTTAGTTTCTGTTAGTTTATACTGTGGTGGGTGTTTTTGTTGAAGATGCAGCCGTTAACCTGCTGCTCAAAGGAAGGATAATAATGCTGCTCTGGAACGGTTTGCTGAATGTACTTTAAAATGGGTCTCTAACATGTGTGCGTTGCATCTCTCCGTTGTGGTTAATAACCCCAATATGTGGTCTGAACTGTACTGTATGTAGCAGGACTGTATTAATTTTGTGCTTCCTTGTTTATAAACATCAGCTGTTCAAGAACAGGATTGACTTTTTTTGTTCAGAAGGCCATTTATGCATTATAAGTATTTGAAATCAAAACTAGTCCAGCACTAACCAGATGGTTGTGTCCAATGTTATTTGGAACAGTTTTTAAATCAACAGGATCAGCTGTGCATTCAGAAAACTGAGGGTATGGAGCTCGTAAGTCTTCAGTTCTTAATGTCACCAAGTTAATGGCCTGATCCTGAGCAGTCCTGAACAACCTATTGCTTGCCTTGAAACCAGGGATTAGAAGCAGAGGGAGTCTTGAATGCTCAGCACTTCCCAGGATCACTTCTTGATTTTCTACTCTGCTTGTTCATACTTCATGTGCAGTTGATTAAGGTTCTTGAATTTGGACATGAAACATGGTGTTACACTGATATACACACTTTCTTTTTTTTAAATTTCAGTCCCCATTTCCCTGTTTGATCGCTCTGTACACAAGGTATACAAGGTATATGCTGTATAAGTGGCCTTCTTGAACAAATCTCTTTGCAAACTGATTTCATCCCAGCGAAGGAGTGTATCAGCAACACTGTACATTAATTTCAGGTTTTCATTTTCTGATTTTATTTTGTAAATATATCTGATATTTGGAGCTTGAGTATACAAAATGTAAATATAGTTCATGTATTTGTACTAATTCTGATCCATTTGCTGTATAGCCTTAGGTGTGCAATGCAGATATCTAACTGTGTATGGTAACCTTGCACCACTGAATTGTTAGTGAACGAGGTGAAACAATAAAGGTACAACCAGTGCATTAGCAGATATAATGTGTGCTCCCTTTACTATGATTTAATAACTGGTATTTTATATTGATTACTTGTTTTCAAAACCTCTACTCAACAAACTTATGCTTTTGTGAATATAAATTTGTCTTGGTAGTTCTTGGGGAAGAGGCCCTTCTCCTGCCTCATCCTTATCCCTTTGATATGCAGCATTTCTAAGTAGTTTTTTGGATGCTTTCAAAAGATTCTTGTGCTTGAAAGATAAACCAAGGTTGCCATAGTGCAGTCAATACTGAACTTGCTTGTCTGAGGGTGACCATTAAAAATGAGAGGAAGCATGTGAAATCAAACCACCAAAACATAACAGCAAAGTAGAAGGCACTGGTTCTGTGGACAAAGACGTCAAGGAATCCCTCTAAATCATTCTCATCTTGATCTGAAAGTGGAAAGTTCTGTGTAGCTTTTAAAAGTCATGGTGAGGAAACTGGACAGGGCATTGCCGAAGCATTTAAGTCCCACAAAATGAGCCACCACTTGCTGTCAAACACCTCTTGTAACAGTATTAGCTGCATGATGGCAAAATACTTTAATCAGGCTGCTGGCTAGATCAGTTCTTTATGTGAAAAACTATCATGGATATCTTGCTGCTGTAGCCAATTCCTTATTTTTTTCCAGTTAGGCACTTGAGTAACATGTTTTTCTGTTGCTCTTCTGATAGCTTATTTAATACTGCAGAGATGCCACTATCTGTTTTACTACTTTCAGATTCATTCACTCTCAATGCCCAAAAATAAGGTGAATGAAAAATGTGATGGTCACTTTGCTGCCAGTCTTCGTGTTTCGAATGTCCCTTTAACAGAAAGTTAAACATGCTTAAAATGTAATTTTGTCTTGATGATGCACCTGACTGATGGAGCAAAGGTATGAAACTAGCTTTTTTTCTCTTAAACCTGGTTTTAATCTCAGTGCTGACAGAGGAGCGAGTTTCTTAAGTTTTCTTTTGCCCAAATTCTAGGCCATCTCAAAGACAAACTGGTAGCTGTGATCTCTAAGGTGTGTTGACTGCAGCCTAGGAAGGTGTTCCAACAGCTGAACTGAAAGCCGTGCATACTCTGTAATTAAAGGAGAGAAAAGACAAAGTAAGGGGTGTCTGCCGGCTGCCGACCCCAGGGGTGTGTGTTGCTGTAGCCCGTGGGGGTACAGAGGCTGCGGCTTCGTGTGGTGCTGGCCTCTGGCCCTGAGGGGACAGTCTGGCCCTGAAGGGAGGACAGCTCCGGCCCCGCGGGGTCAGCTCTTGGCCTGCTACCGCCCGGCGGAGCGCCCAGGGCCCGGCCGCTGCCCCTACTCCGCCGCTCGGTGCCGCCCCCGGGCAAAGGCGCGCGGGATGCGGCGTGCCTTTAAGGAGGCGAGGCGCCCGACCCATCGGCCCATGGGCAGGAGGGGCGGGGCTCCCCTGCGCAGCCAATGGGCGCGCCCCGCCCCGCCCGCGCGGCTGAGGGCCGAGCAGGCGCCCGCCGCAGCCCCGGGCCCGGCCACTGCCGCCGCGATGGCTCAGTGAGTGCGGGGGGGGCCGTGAGCGGGCCGGTGGTCCGGTATGGCTGCCTGCAGGGGTGGGGGATGGCGGGAGAGCCGGGGGGTGTCCCCCGCTGACGGGAGAGGCCGGACAGGTCCTTGGCCTCTCTCTCGAGGGGAGGCGGGAGTGCGGCCCCGGCGGGCTGAGGGGCGCGGGGGGGGGAGCCGTGCTGGCCGCACGCCTCTGCTTAGGGGCTTTCTACTAAACCTATTTTTTTTTTTTTTTTTCATTTTCTGGCGGGCTGATTTGGGGAGGGAAGCGAGTGATCCCGTGCAGACTCCGGTGCCGCGGTGTGTCCGGGAGGGAGAGGACGGGGCCCCGGAGCTGCCGGAGGGCGGGTGGGCTCGTCGCCCTCAGAGCGTCTGCGGCGGTTGAGAGACCAGCAGGGAGAATAAGCCGGTCGGCCGAGAGACTTTTTGACAAAATCCGGGAGCGATCAGTTTTGAGTCGCGATTGTGAACCAGGAAGCTGGTTCCTGACCCGCGGAGTAGAAGTAGGCAGGTTAGGTTTCTTTGCATGTGTGCCCCTTGCAAGTTGAATGAGGAAGCCTCTGGCAGAATATCTAGTTTTTCTCTTTGCTAAGCCCAAATCTGAGATAGTTTTCATTGTAGAAGACAAAAAAAAAATGGTGTGCTGTTCAGACCTGATGTTCCAGTGCAGCATCTTAAATATGGAGCTGTGACAGAGCTGGATCCGTCAGTGACATATTGGAGCCTTTACTCCCAGCCTCCTAGTGCAATGCTTTTGTTACTCATCTAGTTGTGTTTTGGTAGTTGGGAAGAAATCTTGGTGACTTGGAACTTGCTGTATGTTGATCTCCACTCTGTCTGCTGGACTGACTGGGAGCCCCAAAGATCTCTTGCTGTAATAGCCTACAGAACCAATTCAGAGCACGTGCTGCAGCATTTGTTAGAAAGGGTGGGGTGGCCTAGCAGTTGACAAGAGCAGGATACCCTGACAGAGCATATGGATGCTAGTGCTTGATCACTGCTAACAAGACTTAACTGGCATTTTTGTTCTTCCACATTCCAGAGCTGACATTGCTTTGATTGGACTGGCTGTGATGGGTCAAAACCTTATTTTGAACATGAACGACCATGGCTTCGTGGTAAGCGAAGGAAAACATTGTTCAGAAATGATCACTTACTGGTACTTGGGATGGGAGCTGAGCATTTTGTGGGCGTTTTGGTTCGGTTTGGTTTGGTTTTTTTTTTACCTTGTGATGGTCTAATGGGTGTTATTTTCTCCTTTTAGTTATAACCTAGGCTGCCCTTTGTCCCATTTCCAGAGAAAAGCAGCAGTGCATGCCTGTGCTCAGCTAGCCACCCGATGTGTTAGCTATGTATGATTTTTCCCTGAAGTTTGCTTCAGGTTTGGCCATTACCCATATGTTCCTAAGGTACTTCAGAGACATACTGCAGGTTCATCCCTGCTCCGTGTCTTCAGGGAAGATGGAGGTGGGAGAGCACGTGATGATGAGTCTTGCCAATATAATTTGTAGTTTGAGCTAAAGTAACTGTTCTGTTGGCAGCTATTATTAACATGTTTTCCTGCTCCCTCAGGTGTGCGCTTTTAACAGGACGATTTCCAAAGTGGATGACTTTCTGGCCAATGAGGCCAAGGGAACCAAAGTGATCGGTGCTCACAGCCTGGAAGAGATGGTCTCTAAGTTAAAGAAGCCCCGTCGCATTATCTTGCTGGTGAAGGCTGGAAGTGCAGTGGATGACTTCATCAATAAATTGGTGAGGCAAACATCTTTTCTGTTTGTGACTTGTTGCTGTTTTTTGGAGAAGTTTCCCCTGGAAGATCTCAATTATTCGTCATTAAAAAGGTTTTGAATGCATGGAGAAAACCAAAATGCTGATTTATTTTTGGCAGGTGCCATTGTTGGAGACTGGAGACATTATAATTGATGGTGGAAATTCTGAGTATAGGGATACCACGGTAAGCCTGTTTTCTACTCGAAGTGAATTAATAAAATACACATGATTCCTTCTCCTCTGATCATCAGGATAGTCAATAAGGTGCTATCTCCCCTCTGCTTAGGGAAGACCAAACTGAGTTACCCCTCCAAAACTAGATCATGCAGCCTATTAAAAAGCAATTGTTACAGTAGTTAAGGACTGTTCTATAATTATATTTTTACAGGAGTTGCCCAAATCATCAAAGAATATTTTTGTTGACATCTTTTAAAGAGTGAAGGCCTTTAGAAAATTTCTTGTTAGAATCTTAGAATTTTCAGGGCGATTTGAAAATCTAAGGATATCTAGAGTTTTGTTGTTATATCTCAATCCTACATGACCATGGGAAAACCCAGTAAGACAGAACTGCTGGTTTGGCTGTCTTGGTAATGAAAACAGCAGAGTAATTGCATGTTTTGTTTTGTTTGTTTGTTTGTTTAAAAAAAAAGCCTGCTTGTGAGGAGGTGGTAACTGTAGAAGTTTTAGAAGTTACGTTAGCATATCTGGGATGCTTACATGAAAATACTGTGTTCAAACTGGTACTTCTGAGTCTTAGAAGGGGTGTTGGTGTTAGTCTTTCTGACTTGGCATTCTGGTCTTGGATGAGTTGGCTGTGCCAGAGTGAAAAACAAGTACTAAATGAGGATTAATACTTGGGGAGCTTCTAGCTCCCCTTAAGGATCTCAGCCTGTACTTCTCTCCCACTCAGTAGGAATTAGTTTCCCTGTAGTTTTCCATGCTTGCCCCTTCACTCTGCAGTGAATTCAGCAGCTCCTCCTTGGGCCTAATCTGCCTCCCCCACACCTTTGCACACAGCATGTATCACCTGACACTTAATTCTGAGCCTTTTTCCGCCTCAGAACTGCTCTTTTCTATCTTGTGCTTATAAGGACTTTGTTTTCTCAGCATGTTACTTTTGCAAGGATCCATGTCAAAGTAACAGGAAGTTTCCTAATACTTGCTTTGTTGCATGTACAAGCTTTCTCTAAGGTTGTCTTCCAGCATGTCCAAAGCAGAATTGAACTAATTTTAGGTCTGAATTGCTAACCTTTGTTTGTAAGTTTTTTGCATTAAAAGAAAATAAATAATGCTGCTGTGCTCTCTGTTACAGAGACGTTGTAAGGAACTACGGGCAAAAGGCATCTTATTTGTAGGAAGTGGTGTTAGTGGTGGAGAGGAGGGTGCCAGATATGGTCCTTCACTCATGCCGGGAGGAGCCAAAGAAGCCTGGTAAGCATGAACTAATAAATTCTCCTCCAGGATGGTCTGCAACAATTGTCTTCTATTCACATTGAGAGCTGAGGGAGGGAAGGAGCAGGGTGTGGGTGTGGAGAGAACAAGATATGTTGCCGTTTCACTTCCTCAAGGCTCATCATTTCTCAACCTGGCTGGGGTCATGAGGCACTGCTGAGCTTTCATGGCAGGCAGAACAAAGGCAGGTTTTTCTTCCAGGAATTAACAGGTGAAAATAGTATCTACAGAAATCTGAAAGGAGAAATGTGTGCC